AAAGTAAATTTTTTATTAATTTTGTTTCTATTTACCTCATTCTTAAATTTGAATGTCAAACATGGGCTTTTTGATCAAATCTTTGGTTAATTGTCAAATGTAGGAATGTTCAGCTTTAATTTCGGTGTATTGATCAAAATTATGGAATATAATAATTTAATGTTGGAATGCCATACCTCGTTGAATTAGTCATAAAATTTCCAATAAACTGGCATTCACAGCTCAAAAATTTTGGGTTGGATCAAATTTCGAAAAAAATGATGATGGTACCCCTTAAAAAAATGCTAAAATTGGCGACCTCCAAAACATGAGTTTAAATTGCAGTTTTTTGATCGAAACTAAGGAAAATAATGGTTTAATGTGGGAATGCCATACCTGCATAATAAGAAGTAATACTGTAAATTTCATATAAAAACTTTCTCTATTCCCTTCCAGAATGCTGAGCGAAAGGCTCTGATGTGTCACATGAAGGTATACGATGATACCTATACGTACACCAAGTGGCTGGAGATTATACGTCGGATGACGCATGAGGGTGCTCCCTGGCATTCTGCAGAAAGAGCTGAATGGTAAGTTGGGATAGGATTAACTCTAAAATCAAAATCCAATCCTGAAACCCACTCAACAGCTCTTGGGAACTGGACGACACGGAGGGACCGTCGCGAGTTCACACTCGACTGCGTCGCTGCCATTTGGACATTGATCGTCGCTTCTTTATGAACGAATACAGACCGGGACAAGGGCAACGCGAGGATCAGGAGCCATATGTGCGTCCTCTGGACTACCTTATAGCCAGTTACGATCAGCAATTGAACATATCGCTTAACTCTCAAATACTTTATAATTTTGCCGCCAAATTCCTGCCCGTTGATGGGGAAATCGAAGGGGAGATCATCATCACCGATCTGAAGCTGTACTTCCTGGCGACGTACCGGTGTCGGTACTTCAATGTGAACTGTGATATAGCCAACATAACAGAGATCTGGCTGAAACGCTACCAACACCAGGAGACGGCCTTCGAGATTCTCCTGGACACCAACAAGTCGCTGTTCTTCTCGCTGCAAAATGCCGACGATTGGAAGATCATGCGCGAGGTATTCTGTGATAAAATCGTTGCCACTCCCGATCAGGCCAAAGTGCTGGCCATCACGCAGCAGTGGCGTGAGGGTCTGCTTACCAACTGGGAGTACCTGATGACCCTCAACCAAATCGCCGGCCGCACCTACAACGATCTCATGCAGTACCCGGTGTTTCCCTGGGTGCTGAACAACTACAGCTCGGAGATTTTGGACCTGCGGGAGGGACACAATTTCCGGCGACTCGGACGACCAATTGCCGTGCAGCTGGAGGAGAACGAGAAGCACTACATCAGCAACTATACGGTGGGTTGGGCACTCTTTATCAATCAATCCTTTAGGCAAGCAATTAGGCAAAGTATGCAAATATTGAGTTTAATAGTTGTTTTTATCTACAAATTTATCAATTAAACTAGTTATTCAAATAATTAGAACTGTCATATGGATACTCTTTGGTTAATCTACCCATTTGCTTCAGTATTTTTGAATTTTAAATTTATATGATAAAATTTATAAATCTTAAATGGCTATATATGGTATGGATATTTATTTTTTTCAAAAAACCAAAAATACCAAAGTATTAATTTTGATTAAAAAAAAAAATAATATTAATTAGTATTATTATTATTATTATTGATTCCTGTGTAGACAGAAATAATGACGATGTTTTTTAATAAGCCTATAAAAAACTTATAAGTCCTTTGATCTTTTCAGTACATTGACAGTACCAACACCACAATGGGTTCGCTGATCCTCAAGCCGTATCACTACAGCTCCCATTACTCGAACTCCGGCACCGTGCTCCATTTCCTGGTGAGGGTTCCACCGTTCACCAGCTATTTTCTGCGCTACCAGGACAATGATTTCGATTTACCGGATCGCACGTTCCATGCTCTGAACACCACCTGGCTGTTGGCCAGTCGGGATAGTCCCACGGACGTGAAGGAGCTCATTCCGGAGTTCTTTTGCCTGCCGGAGATGTTCGAGAATTTCGAGCGCTTTAAGTTCGGCTGCCGACAGAATGGCGAACGGGTCGAGGATGTCTCACTACCGCCATGGTGTCAGCGGGACTCCCGGCTCTTTGTGCTCATCCACCGACAGGCTTTGGAATCGGAACAGGTGCGCAATCAGATCCACAATTGGATAGACCTGATCTATGGCTACAAGCAGACCGGGGAAAGCGCCGTGGAGGCCATCAATGTGTTCCACCCAGCGGTGAGTAGTCATAGGGGTTACCCCTACTTATAATTTTGAAAATTTAATAATAATATAAATTATCATTACTTAATGCCATGTTTAATGTCGATCCAAACCAATTTAATTTATAATATTTTTAGCATACCTATTCAATATTAAAAAAAGAAAAAAGTATTTAGTATATGTAACACGTTTTTGAGCTTTACCATTTGGGGTGTGGGTTTCTCCTCACCCTTGACTTTTTTAGATAGTATATTAAACGTTAAAAACAAATAAGTATTTTTTTGAAAAAAAAAATTTTCCACAAAAAGCCTTTAAAAATTAAACTTTATTAATCAGTTATTTCCTTGTCCCAGACCTATGCCGTGTTCCTGGATTCCGAGATCAGCGATCCCATTGAAAGAGAGGCAGTGAAGACAATGGTGAAGACCTATGGCCAGATGCCCAGGCAGCTGTTCAAGTCACCACATCCGGCGACCAAGGCACTGGACTACTCGCTGGTGGACAAACCGATAGTGTCCACTGTACGTGGACTGCGTTGGGGCGTCTATGTGGGATCGCCGCAGCTGAAGGTTCCATCCTGGGCAAATATCCACAAGATACCCGGCACCGAGCATTTGGTGAGCTTCAGCAACACCAATGTGGTATATGCTTTGCCGGGAAGGGCAAGTGTGATGCAGGGAGCTGAGCCGGATACCTACAATGTGATCTCCTGGGGCTACGACGATCGGATTGTGAGGATCCAGCCGCTGAACAAACCACAGGCCAAGCCAAAGAACCTGGTGCACAATGGAACCTTTGACGACATCACCGCCTGTGGATGCGATGTGAACTCGAATCAGCTTTGGTTTGGTCATAAATCCGGCCGGGTTAGTGTGTACAAATGCACGGGAGGATTGGATTCCCAGCAGCGAGCCTCAACGAAGGGCAGGCATAGCTATGCCCGTGGTTTCAGTTTGTCGTACAACTCTGCTTTCCGGAAAATAACCAGCAAAGGATTGGGCGGAGGAGGTGGTGGATCGGAGAGAGTGGATGAGGCGGGAAACCTCAATGCCACCCATTCCGCCTCTTCAGTTAACTCCGCCAGCAATTCCTCCAGCAGCGATGCCTTCCAGCGTGACGGAGCCGATGTCAACTGGCTGGGACCCACGCTGCTGGTGCGGCACACAGACGAGATCACCTGCATTACCCTGTCCGTGGAGTTCAAGATTGCGGTCACAGCGGGTCGCGATGGCATAGCTGTTATATGGGACTTAAATGAGTGAGTAATATAATATTTTATGAAATATTTATACCCTTGGAAAGAGTAATATTATGTCAGTCGAAACTTTATTATGTATATAAAAATATTAAATATTCTTTTTTTTTAATATTTTGGTTGATAAAGATTTTTAGAAAGTAACATTATATTATATATTCTTAATTAACATTTCTGGAAAAGTATTATAATGTTAGTTATAAACCCTATAAAGTATATAAAATATGATATATTATATTTTTGATTAAGATTTCTAGGCGAGTCGATCTAGCCATGTCCGTTTGCTTGTCCGTTTGTCCGATTCTATACAAACAAGTCTCTTAGCGTTAAAGGGGCTGCTTTTAGTATATAATTCGAAAAGGGACGGATCAGAAGACTGTATCATATAGCTTCCATTAAATTTAAAAAAAAATGTATTTCTTTGGCTTGCCAAAGTTTGCTGTCTTTCTTGATACTTAATAAAGTTTTCTTTTCAGCTGGAGCTATGTGCGAACGATTGCTCGTCCGGCGGAGATTCATCAGTCGCCCATAACGCATGTGGCCATAAGTCCAACGCTGGGAGACATTGTCACCGTTCACACGCTGCCACAACCTGCTGCTCCAACTGCGGATGCAAAACCTCCGGTGGCTGCAGCTACAGCTGCAACCAGACCCAATACCCTCAGCATTGCCGACGAATGCTTCGAGGTGACCGAGGAGAGCCTGGATGACTTTGTCAATGTGAATGTGAACCCCAATGGCAAGTCTATTTTGCGACTGCACTCGGTCAATGCTCGGTATGTGCAGCATCTGGTGCACGAGGATCGCATCCTGGCCGTTTGCTACTCGTACATTAAGGAGGGAGTGGGCGTTAATGTGATAGCCACCGCTGTGGAGGGAGGATTTGTGCGCTTTTGGTCCAGCTGGAACCTGAGCTTTGTCAGTGAACTGACGACGGGAACTTCGCCCATTCGAAGGTATAGATTGCCTATGAACCCATATAAAACTAGCCCATGTAAACTAACTATGTATTGTATATCATTACAGCATCTGCTACTCAACACATCAGCATTTGGTGGTGCTAACGAGGGAGTCCCACATTCAGGTGTGGGAATCCGAGGGTCTTTATGGCAATGCCCCAAAGTTCCCCCAAATCGTCTATAAATAGGGTTAATGAGAATACTCAATGCCACAACTCAAAGCATATCAATGACAGACACATAAAATTCGAAAAAAAGCAGCTGAATCAAAGAACATATAATTTTGGTTGGTCAACGGAAGAGATTTCAAATTATAATATTCCTTTGCGACCGCCACAACACTGATATATCAGAGAAGACTATAAAGATTCCTAGGTTTAGGTCTCATAGAGCTGTAAAATACACCTTTTGTACCAAAACTTTTTATTATTTCGTATTTGTTTTTCCCATGTGGCAGGCTAAATTCCCGCGCTGCCTTCAATTGTTGATATTATCAAATAAACAATCATATTTTGCAAAACTAAAGGATTTACTTTCATAATTATTAGGTAAAATATACAATGTACATTGTAGGGGCTTAGGGTGTAAGTAATGATTATAAAACTATAGATATTAAGTACAATATTACTTAGCGAGAGCCTCTCTTGTTGTCAGCACTTCCAGGGTGGAGGCTTACTGTTGCCACTACCGCTTTTTGGTTTGCTATGCTTGCTTCCCTGTTTGCTAGTCGTCATGGACAGAATCTCGTCGAGCTTGTCGAAGTCACTGGGCGACTTGCTGAGCAGCAGCTCAATGTAGGCCTGCAGCTTGTCCATTGGCGAGGGCGGATCTCGTTTGCCCACCACATCCAGGTTGTTCTTCTCGGTGCTGTTGCTGCGCTGCGACTTGCTCGTTTTGGGAGTTTCCGGATACATGCGGGCATTGTTTAGCTCAGGAGATTCGCCTTCAGTATCACTGGCTTGCATCAGGGAGTTTTGACTGGGAGTGGTGAGAATGGCAAGTGCCTGCTGCCACTGGGCCTCCATTACGCCGTGCAGCTTCTCCGCAATATCAGCACTGTGATTGGAAAAACATATTTAAATACTACAATTTAGTTATTTATATAAATAGCTTACCGCTTGGTTTTGTAACAGTTGAGTTTGAGGTCCATTTCATCGATCTTCTTGGAGGCATTGGCCAGCTGCAGTCGATATAGCTCCACTTCCTCAAGGTGCTTCTCCTGGATGAGATTCAGTTCCTGGTTATTCTTCTCGTTAATCATTTCCAGCTGCTTAACAGCCCGCTCGGCTATCAATCTTTCACGCTCTCGAGCCTCACTCTTCAGATGCTCCTCGTTTTTGTCCAGCTGATCCTGGAATTCCTGCATCTTTTTGGCCACCACATTCTCCATTTGTTGCTGGTAATACTGCTTGAGGGATTTCTGTTGAACATCTAGCTTTTTCTTGAGATTGGTCTGGAAAGTGATGATAAAATTTGAGTGCTTATGCTTACAAAACAATCTTTTCAATAGTAACCTCATTTTCAGTTAGATTAGCCAGTGTTTCTTGAAGAGACTTGCGCTGCGCCTCCAAGGCATCCGCCCGCGCCTTTTGCTTTTGATGATATTCCTGCAACATTTCCTTTTGGTGGTTAAGCGTGTTCTTGTCCTTTTCCAGTTCTTCAATGCGGGCTTTTAGCTAAAAGTTTAATGTATAAATTAGAAAACTAACCTTATTTATTGAACATATAATATAAATTACCTTCTCCTGCTGGTAGTCTACCTTGGCAAACTTATCCCTCAGCTTGTTAAGCTCTGCGTGCGACAGCTCCTCTGCTCTTTTGCTGCTGTGCAGCTGCATATCCAGTTGCTCCAGTCTGTCCTCCCAATCCTTCGCATCTTGCCTGCGATGGTCCAGTTCTGCCTCTAGTTTATCATTCTTTTCCTGAAACTTGGTGGCCAAGCTCACAGCCTGCGACAACTCGTGCTGCAGGGCATCAATTTTGCCCTGAGATTCGCTTCTATCCGCCTCCATTTTATGCAGAGCATCACGCAGTTGCTGCACTTCGTAGTTAAGATTCTGGGCTGCTTGCTCCGCTCCTGTGAGTGCTGCATCCTTGGAACGATCCACCTCGATGGCCACTGAGATGCGCTGCTGATATTCCAGCAGTTGGGATTGCAGGCTGTGCACAGTTTTCTCCAGATGCTGTCTCCTCAGTTGTTCCTCTTTCAGGGAAGGACTGCACTGGAGTCGCGGGTTGGGAGAATTGTTGTCCAGGACAGTTCTGGCCAAGCTACTCTTGCCCCAAAGTTCACTCAAGCTGATGAGCTTGCTGTTGTCGTTCAAGCTATTGCGTGCACCTCTTGCTACTTCACTTGCTGAAGGAGCTCCAGAAGAGGAGGAAGTCAATCGCATGCTGGGCAGGGAAGTGGCCGCCGGATGACCCTCCTGCACTAACCTCTCGTTTCTCAAATGATCATCGCTATGATGATGCAGATGTTGATGATCCTGTCTCTGCCAGCGATTCACATTGTTCTCGTCTAGGTAGTGGTCAATCTCCAACAGTATGTTATCCTCCAACGGTCGGTGCAATACACTTTTGGGCGTGGAGTGCACCATGCCATGGAGCTCCCTACTTTCCCGCTGCCCTGCTGCATTTCTCACCGTATTGGTTGATATGGTGGATATATCCGAGGGTGCCTCGAATCCCCCTCGATTGTCCGCCGCCTCCAGTCCCATATTCTGCAGCCTGGCATTTATGTTATTCAGCTCCGATTTCTTGCTGGGATGCAGGAACTGATATGCCGCACTCGTGGGCACGGGGGGCGGGGGCATGGCCAGGGCATCCAGTGCCGCCGCTGCGCCTGCGCTCATCTTCACCTCCTCCGTGGACTCCGTATAGTAATTGGGCGGTATGAGCAGCAACAGATCGGTGTCGTCCGTGTCCGTATCGCTCATTCCTCACACATTTCGAGTCAGCTCGGTTTAAAATACCCCCTGAATTGCGGATTGCGACGGAAAAGATTGAAAACAGATGCAATTGGTTTGTTGTTGCTATAGTGATAACACGACGCGTAAACATTGCACCAGGGTTGTCGTGGGTGTGTGCTATCGAATGTAAAACACAAGAGATATATCGAGTGTAGCGGGAATGTGAGATATATTTATTGAAAATAATGAAAAGTTAATTTTAACGCCATGCTTAATTTATTAATTTCAAAAAAATGTTAAATACGTCGTGAATGCAACTATTTCGATTTTGGTTTTGAAAGTATTTGCAGGTTTGAACTAAACAATCCGTTTTCCAAATTATTTCAAACTATAACTTTATTTTTTTATCTTTAGAAGGATACTAAAGGGTACGAAGGGTACTAAAATTTTTGATCAGTTTCATATTCGTGTACCACTCCATTCTTGAATTGTTTCAAATCTGAATTTGTTATATTTTATAACCTAAGGTAACAAACATACATATGTACACTTACTACTGTTTAAACATTTTGCGGAGAATGTAAAAATTTTGTAACCTTTTACTTATTTTGAGTCACAAAATCGTTGTATTTCGCAAATATTATTAATTATGTATTCGCTGTCAACTTATTTGACTTATTACTAATAATCACTGATTTTTATATGATATTTTGTAAAATAAAAATTCTTCCCGGAATACCGTTAGCTGACAGCCCTGGTTTTTTTTTCGACCTATCGGCTATCGCTTTGTTTTTTAGCGCCCTGTAATCGATTAATGTGACCGTGAAAGAACGCTCCCTATTAACCAGATTTGTTTTTCGTTCGGAGCAAGTGTTTTTCGTGCAATTTTCCCGCCAGGGACGCTCCAGGATGGCAGATGTAAGCTTGATTGTCTGGGGGTCACCGGCGGTGCACCTGGAACCGGATATCATCTACCGAATTGGACGTAAAAAGGGTCTGGAAATCAGCGTCGCCGATGAGGTGAGCCCACATCCAAGATTTGTGCATTTGAATTTTAAATAACTGCCCGTTTTGAATGCAAAGTCCATGGAACTGGCCCATGCCACCGCCTGCATCCTCCGGCGCGGAGTTGTGCGCCTGGCCGCCCTGGTGGGCAAGATATTCGTCAACGACCAGGAGAAGTCAGTGGTGGACATCGGCAAGGAGGACGCCTTTGCCGGCAAGGTCAAGGTGCGATTCGGAAATGTGGAGGCCAGGCTGGATTTTAAAGAGGAAAACGATGAGGTGAGCAGTCGACCAATCCACAATTATGCAGCGAAAGTTGCTCCAAATAAAACAGCCAGAATTTAATATACTATCTCTCTATTTCAGGACCATGATAGCAGCGGATTTGGAGAATGCCTTAAGGACAGGCAGATCAACTCTACAATGGACAGCTTCGATATACCTGAAACGCAGCCTCCGTCCGCCAATTCGACAGCAAACACCACGGCAGACAGTTTCTTTATACCCGAAACGCAGGCGGTTAACTTCCAAAGGACGTCGACCAGTGGAAAAGTGTCGCTGGGCGATGACTTTATGATACCCGAAACGCAGGATATGCTGGCCGAACTTCCATCTGTAGAGCCGCCTAGTGATCCTGTCATTAATCACCAAGATGTGTCGCTGGCTAGCGATGCGGAGGACTCTTCCGCTGGCAGCGAGATAAGGATGTGCACCCAGGACTACAACGAGGATGCCATCGATGACTTTGATTCGTCGCAGATTATTTGTGATGCTATGCTTCCCTTGCCGCCACCAAGGGCTAAGGAAACTTTAGTGAAAAAAGAAGATAAGCCGGGTAGGTAGAGTCTTTACAACTGGGAAACTCTAGTTCAATGCATTCCTTCTTAGATCAACTGGACGCCACCGACTTTGAAATGAGTACCTTGAACTGGACAGCTGGCAATTCGAAATGCGGTGCTCTGAGTAGCACCAAGGCGGATGTAGAAGCAGCACCACCACGCGGTGATGCCTGCATTACTCCCGATCTGAGCGCTCCCTCCGAGAGTCGTCCTATCCACACACCCGATCTGTACGATCTCATCTTGGGCAGTGAGCCGCGAGCAGGCTCCTGTAGTCCAGATCCTTTTGTGCGACCTGCGGAGAGGGCAAATGCAAGTGGCACACCGCAATTTGGCGGCATTAAACAGCTAGTTGTGGCCACCATTGAGACGCCCACAGCAACGCCCGACAAAGAGGATGCTGAAATTAATCAGGATTTAGTAGCCACTCAACGATTTCCAGGAAATAAATTGTTGGAAAGTGACAGTGAAGACGATGAGGAACCAAATCAAGATTTCGTGGCCACTCAGGCGTTTAATTTGGGACGTCGCCCTCAGTTGAACGAAGTTTCTGAGTCATCAAAAGATGAGGAACCAAATCAAGATTTCGTGGCCACTCAGGCGTTCAATTTGGCGCACCCACAACCAAAGTCGAACATTAACGAGACTTGCAACCAAGATTTTATAGCCACTCAAGTATTTCCCGCCAATATTGGTGGTACCGGGTGTCAGGACTTTATAGAAACACAGCCTTTTCAGGCGCTCAATATGAACTTTTTGAGTTTGCTTAACAAAGAAAACATTCCAAGCGACAGTGCCAAAAAAACCTCAGGTAATAAAATCAATTAATAACTTGTAAAATCTAACTGAAATTATACTTTTAAGGTTCAAAATCCCTTGATGAGATAGATGCTGTGCTTGACGAAATGATTTCAGGGAAGATAGTAACATCGCCTGTAAATCCCAACGAAGATGCAATACAATTCTTTAAACCCTGCGTGATTAAGGATAAGAATCACTATCAAAAGGTGATTAAAAAATATACTTTGATATAAGTTGTCATAAGTAACCGTGTTTTTTTCCTGCAGATTTGTCAAATCGAAGGGGTTTTCAGTGACATTAGCAACAAAAGTCGTTGGCGTTCTGGAGAAACTAGCGGTGGCAGTCGCAAACGCGTAGCCAGATCGGAATCTCCTTCAGAAACCCGTATGTCTTACTTACAAGTAATGCATACATAAACCGAATAATTATTAAAATACAATTTATTTCACAGCCAGCCGAAAAAATCGACGAATATCAGAAGGTTCTCAAAGACTCGACAGTAATTTGAGAAAGCGAAGGGCGAATTCAACGGATAAAAAATCAGAACGTAAGTGGTCGCAGATTGTAAATAAATCTTTTCTAAAATAAACACTTTCAGCTCTAAACAAATCTATTTGCAAAGAACATGAAATTGCCTCGATTCCAAAAGAGAAAGATAAGGATGATAAAGGTATTGCTCCCTTCAAATCGGTGGCCAATAAATGGCAAGCACGCAGAAGTCTCATAAATAACCGCTCCGATACTCCTGGAAAATCTTTAAAAATCAATCAAGTTGAGGCTGAGTTGCAGGACAAGTCTAAAGATGATCTATCTACCAAAAAAGAAACTCGAAAGTCCGGTAGAAAATCAAAGAACGTGGAGACAAATAAGGCAGACACATCCAAGGATGTTCCTAGGAAAATGACCAGAACAAGAAGCAAAACTGTCGATGACGATGATGAAGTGCTTTCAGAAAAGGCAAAAAAACTCAAGAATGCGAATGACAAAGATGTTAAGACTACAGATGTGGAAAAACCTGTCAAGTCAACAAAAGGAAGAAAGGCCAAGACTGCGGAAATCAGTAAACCAGACACATCTAAAGATTTGCCGATGCCAGTGTCTAGATCTAGGCGCAAAACCACCGAAGAAGTTGCTGAGACGTCTAATGTAGACAAAGGAAAAAAGGCCAAAAAAGCTGAGAACAGTAAGGCCAACTTATCTAAGGATATGTCGAAGCCAATGTCTACAACTAAGCGACAAACTAGCGAAGAAGACGCTGAGATGTCTAGTGCAGAAAAGGAAAGAAAGGCCAAAAGCTTATCTAAGGATATGCCAAAGCCAATGTCCAAAACTAGTCGCAAAACTATCGAAGAAGATGCTGCGACGTCTAGTGTAGAAAATGATAGAAAGGCCAGAAAGGCAGACTCATCTAAGGATATTTCGAAGCAAACAACTAGACCCAAACGCAAAGTTAGCGTGGAACATGTTGAGGCCCCAAAGGCAGAAGAAAACCCTGTCAAATCTGAAAAAGTACGGAAGACCAGGAACTTAGATAAAAACAAAGCGGACACATCCAAAGATATGCCCAAAACGATGACCAGAAGCAGGCGTCAAACTATCGTTGAAGAAGCTGAGTCGGTCAACGAAGATAAACCCATGGATATTTCATTAAAACGTGCAGTTGTGCGTTTACCCAGAGCAAGTTTAGAGCAAATAGAGACCTCCTCAAATAGTGGCGTTAGTTCCAGGGTAACTCGTGCCAAATCTCGTTCTGCGTCCATTGAGGAGCCATCAACTAGCATGGCCAATCCCAAGGCTCCAGTTGTTCCTGCTCCAAGAGCAAAACGTGCTGTCAAATCGGGTTCCGCCACACCGTCCGTTGACGAAGTGATAGCTACCTCCGCCAGTGACAAAAAGCCTACAAAGTCAGCAGCAGTCATTGAAAATCCATCAACCAGCTCTGCCCAATCCAAAAAGGCTAAGAAGACCCTAAGTAACGAGGTAGTCCCTATGAATAGATCAGGCGCAAGTAAGTTCTACGGTTATTGGTTTCACCAACCTATAAAAATATAAAAAAAATCATTTTATTCCTTTAATATATTAAAATTAAAATATTTATATTTCTCTTAAATTAAAATAATGTTTTCAGTTATTATTTACTTTTCATTTTAAACCTTCTTTAGCTTTATATGATTAAAATAAATAAGTTATTTTTTTATTGGTTTCTTTGTATAAAATTTCTTTATCCAAACTTTTACCTGCTGGCATGATCTTCCTTAACTTAAAGGCTGTAGCACTGGGTTAAAACGAAAATAAATTAAATTAACCCAATTATTTTACATTGCAGCCACAACTCGACTCAGTCAGCCTGATCCTGACCCACTTAAAGGTACAAGTTCCTACCCATAAATTCAACATATTTTTAACTTTCCATGTACTCTTTTTTTTTAGCCTTTAATCTTTATGTGAAGAAGGCCAAATCGAGTGGAAAAATTAAGATAGCCTTTACCATGTGCGATCGACCGGCGTTGCAATCTGTTTTAAAATCTTTGAAACATGTGGTGGAGGTCACCGAAGATCCGGCACAGTGCGATCTCCTCATCATGGACAAAGGCGAGCGTACCTTCAAGTTTCTCATGGCCATTGCTTCCAGCAAACCTGTGCTGTCCACCAGTTGGCTGCATTCCATAAAGACGACCAGGAGCATCGACGTGAAGGCAGATCATCTCTTTAGTGATGCCAACTTCGAGGAGAAATTCAAGTTCAATCCACTGTCTGTACTCAATCACTCACATTTGCTGAGTGGCTTTCACTTTTTGCTCGGCGAAGACATTATTCCAGTGCCCAATGAAATGAAAGGTAAGTTTGTTTTGTCAATACGTTTACCAGCTTGTGACTTATGTTAAACTCCCCCCACAGTCATCATTCAAAGTGCTGGCGGAAAGGTGCACATTCAACCTCCTTCGCTGGCCTTCAGCGTGGAGCTGTATGTGGTCACCACCAACAAGGACACCAAATCCCAGCGGCGCCTGCGAAACCACGATAACGTACATTTCATCAAAACTGAGGGCATTATGCAGGCGCTTGTGCAGCACAACGCGAAACTCCTGGACGAGCACAAGCTTAAACTTTAGGTGCCATCATTTGTAGAATAGTTTTGACTTCTTTGCTTAGTCTTCTTTTGGAATACTCAAGAAATTGATCCTAACTTTTCTCCACCATAATTTCAAGCTACAACAACAAATCACATCATTAACGAGGATATCCCTGACTAGCACAAGATCAAGCTTTAAATTTAGGTTTTTGTTTCATATTTAATTTTTTGTTTCATGTTGAGGCATATTTAATTGTGGCCATGCAAATTTAGTTGTACAAATATTGTTCCACAATTATCTCTGAAATGGAGTGATCCTACCTAAAACTACTCCATCTCCTTGTAACTGGATCCTCTTGCTATATTTTGTAGTAAGAAATTGATCCTCACCTTTTTGTGTCATTTTTCAAGTCGTTCATGATTAACATCAAAACAAAACATCACATTATAACCGAGGAGATTGCAGACTAGCACAAGATCAACCAATTTAGGATTTTGTTTCATGTTGGGGCCAACTTAATTGTGACCATTAATATTAAATTATCCTTAAAACTAGGTGATCCTAGCAAATACTACTACAACTTATTTTGTTTCGATCCCGTGGGTTTGTTGATCTGCTGCTTCTTGTTATATTTTGTAGAAGGAAATCGCTCCAAACTTTTTCAGACCACCATAAGATAACCAATATAATAGCTTTAAGCCTAGGTTTTCGTTTGATATTTAATTGTTTTCTCATGTTGTGGGGCTAACTTAATTGTGGCCATGCTAATTTAGTTGTACAAATGATTTTGCCTTTGTATGGCCTGTCTAATAAACATCCTATCTAAAAACTACTCCATCTTCTTTCGCTTCGAGCCCGTGGGCTTGTCGAACTGCTGCCTCATGCCGCCGCCGCGTTCGTTGTGGAACTTGATGTTGCTGGAGGATTCGGCGTACCAGGGCGAGTCGAACTTGGTGGTGTCCTGATCCACTAAATGCGTGTACTTGGTGCGGCCGCAGCGGCCGAAGTTCTTCACCTGCATCACCTTGGGCAGGATGGTCTTGTCGAAGTGATCCTCCAGCGTGGCCTGCGCGAAGTCGCGCTTCAGCACATCGTTCTCCTCGTCCAGGTAGAAGGCGCCGCGATGGTAGTACTTCTGCAGGAACTTGTACTTGCCCTTGGTGGCCTTGTTGGTGACCAGTTTGGGATTCTGGCGCAGCTCCTGCCGTCGCTCCTCCTCGGTCATGTTGCGCATGCGATCGATGTCTAGTTTTTCACGTTCATTGCTGTGAGTTAGGGTTAGAAATTAATGGGGGTTTTAAAGGTAATAGGTAGCTGACTTACTTATCCCTTTCCTCACGATCCCGCTTCATCCTTTTGAGCTCTCGCAGCTTCCAGGCCTCGTACTCCACCTCATCGTTCTCATCGTCCGTGCACACATCCTCGATGCAGGCCTCATTGCTCTCGGGTTTGGTCTTCTCCAGGTCTTTTTTGACGCTTTCTTCGACCATCCTCAGGGTGGCTCTTCGCCGCTCCTTGGCCGCCCGCTTGGCCTCCGCCTCCAGCTGCTTTTGCTTTTGGGCCTCGCGCTCCTTCTCCTGAATGGTGGCCCTATCTCTTTTGCGCACGAAGAGTGGCTTCAGGCGGGGTTCATTGTCCTCCTCGCTTTCCGTCTCCTCCTCGTACTCGGAACTCTCGGATTCGGACGACTCCGACTGCTTTTCATCCTCCTTCTGGAGCACTTCCTCTTCGCGCTGTTGCTGCAGCATCCGGGATCTGAGTTTGGTGCGCCGGTTCTCCAGCTCCGTGTCGCTGAGCTCTGCATCTGTGTCCGATTCGGAGGCCAGGGTGATCTTGTTGGTGCCCCGCTCAAGGGTGCCCGTGCCCTGTGCCGGCTCTTCGTCCAGCTCCTCGTCCTCGGAGTCGTTGTCCATGATTTCGGGTTCGTGTATGTGTCGATGGCGCTCCCTTCGCTCCTTTTCCATGTCCTCCATGTCCGAGGGCCTTTGGCGCAGTCTCCGCAGGCGGGGATCGTCCACCTCCGCTTCATCCTCCTCCTGGGCATCACCTGCTGTCCCCTCCACGCTGCCTCCTCTGCGGGATAGCTCCATTTTGTGGCGCTCCGACTTGTGGCGCTCCAAGCGCTTCCTGGTGTCAATGAAGTCATCGTCGTCGCTCTCCTCCGAACTGGAGTCCGCGCGGGCGTAATCAGGTCGCTTTCCGGATATATACCGCTGCACCTTCACCTTTTGCATGGACAATTCGCCTGTAAAGTGGTCATAAACAATAACAATGGGAAATGCTGGCGCTGCTCAAAATATCCAGTTTACCCTTCTCATTTCGCATGGGAATGGCGCCCGCGGTGCTCTGAATTCCCGCTGCGGCAGCGGCGGCACTCATTTTGCGTTTATTTTAATCAAAAACGTTAAAAATCACAATTTTACAGAAATTAGAGGTGACAAAATAGCGATGCAATAGAGGTGGAGGAACATCTAAGTCATCGATGTTTTCAAAATAGGAACCATATCGTTGCTTGGCACAGATTGTCGATGTTTATTCATCTCTAACGATATTTTCCTGTCACTGTTAACTTCTCACTCCTCTGTTGAAACTCTAAACTCTGCTGAAATGTTATTTAACACAACTCATGTGAGAAATGTAAAAATTGTTTTTAAATTCTTAAGCTCCAAATCAAAATTTAAAAGCATATCTAAAATTAAAACACTGCTAAGTTCGAATCCGAAAAATGTAATGATTGACAGACGATATTAAATTTCGAACGTTGAACGCACACTGCTTGCTGAGAGAATTGCCAGATGTTCATGAAGAAGTCTGGCAGCTCTGCATAGGTTAAGTGGCAGCTTTTGTGTGGTGGGCGATAGATTTGAAAAGCATTTATAAACGGTTTTTTGGTTAGATTGTTTTTTTTTGAGGTTTTAATTAATTATTTTTCCGCTCGAGTTATATGTTTATTGTTTTTTTCATGATAACATGACGGAAGTGCGATGACTTGGCTGTGTACATATTAGAGAATTCAACTAATTGAGACATTCAATTAAAAATAATAATGTACATATACGTTTACAGAGAGAAATATATGTTTCTTTAAAGGATTTCTTGCATTTTGTTAATAGAATATCTAGTTTGTTATTTTCAATAACTTAAAGGCTATCTTAAATCTGCCTAATTCTTATGTTTATTAACTTTATAGTTTTAAACATTTTCTGAATACAAAATTCTTTTGCAGTGCCTGTAAAAATTGCTATAAATTCTCGCAATGTCAACGCCCACTCTCATTAGTTCATTAATTGACTACTACGCTTTCACCCATTCACTTAATAAATATGGATTGTCGCCAGTCGATGATCTTGTGTAATGCCGGCATCGCTTTAAGAATTTTCCGAAAATTGTTTTTATTGATCTACGAAATATGCGCAATATATTCCATTTCGGCAGCACGCAGTCAGCACGTGTGGTGTGGTGGTCGTCTTGTAAATGTTTGTAAAAAGGTACTGATATGTTGTGATACCGAGCCAATCGGACCAAAGTCCGAAAGAACAACCTGATGGGCGAGAGGCTCGACCAATTTTGTGACGTCTCCGGTAAAACTAGCCACTTGCATCCGAGAAAACAGAGTTTGAGGTGGGTTTGCTGGATTTGTTGTTATAAGATCGTTTCGGGCCTAAACACTGAGTCGCATTTGCCGAACTGCTTTTAACTGCTTTTCGTCGGCTAGAGTAGTTGAATGGCCAAGATTTACATGAGACTGTTAGTTAACGACACGGCGGTAATATTTAATTAATGCAACACGCTTAAATGCATATCTCACTGACCTTAGACCAAGGCATTGATTAAGATTTGGAGACTTTCCGCTTTGACGGGGAAGTACCTGCCCCGAAATTCGAAATCTTATATCTTATAGCGACCCATCCACGTGATTTTCCCATTTCTTCGACCTCAATGTAAATTTATTGCGGGTTGAAACTCTTTTTGAACTGACCGGCGCCCATTTCAATTCAAATTCAAATTCCTAATACATTTCAATTAAAATTAAACACTGGCGCACAAGAGTTGTAAACAAATAATTTTCTATTAGCGGGAGAAAGAGTGTCATGCCTGATCAAAATCGTACCAGATCGAACTCGTTATCGTTATCCAAGTAAGACATTGCATATAACCAGCGGCAATTGAGGCGAGGCGATGAATATATCTACATATATGTACACAAAATAAAACGAAAGATAAAATCGTTCTCATTATTAATTGGCGCACTTTTTTCCTTTGTGACTCGGGGGCTCGAGTTACTTAAAAAGTAATAAAGGGTAAGTCGAATTGAAATATTCACACAGCACGCAAGCCGAAATTGGCTAAGAACCATCAATTAAACTTTTGTGTTTTGTGCTTTGTTTACAACGCATTTCGATTTAGCCAATTAATGATCGAGAGATCTGCAAAGGAGTTGGAAAATACCGGATATTTTCCGACTTTCTCTGCGGCGAGGGTTCGGATTCTCCAGAAATGGAATGATTCTTTTCATATGAATCAGAGCGTTGCAATTCCGAAATCAATTGCCACCAATTCACTGGAAGTTTTTTTTTAGAGATGGTTTGCCAAACATATTTTCATCAAATTTAGCAACCCCTGCATCGAATCCGGAATTTAAGGGGCTCGGATTACTTAACCCCGTGAGCGTTGCCTTTATTAAATGTCAAGTTGTGCAAAAAGGGGTACTTTATAGCTATTGCTTATCAATTTGATTTATATTCTAAGATCAATCAATATTTATAGGATTGTTTGCCAAAGTAATTTATGTATGTTCTTTAAGAAAGAGCTAAGTTATGTGTTCATAATTACAATTAAATGAATTTATTAATTTTAATTAAACGTATTTTTAAAAAAGCCGTTTTAAAAATTGTCTTGCAATTGAAAAACTAAAATTACTTATTGATTTAATAATAATGTAGTTTGTAAATATTAACTACTTATATGTTGCTACCCATTTTAGTTAAGGAATTAAATCGCTTGATGAGGTAATACGACAAAAAGAAAATATTATTTTTTTTTAATTTAACCACTTGATAGGGAATTTTTTATAAATATGGTGTTTTTAAATCTCAGCAGAAGGCAATGTTTATTTTAATCACATGCTAGAATATAAAAAAAAGATACCTATAGTTTAGCAATCCACAAAAAACTCAAGGTGTTAGGTAAATAGTTATTCTGTACAAGCAAATTATTTTAAGTTATGGTAACTAAGTGGGGTATATTTTAGTAAGGTAAATAGTTATTATAATTTGACAAAATTATTCTACCTTTCCATAAACTTATTTAAGACAATGTTTATTTTCAGTCAAAATCAAACGTTTAAAATAAGTTGCCTATATTTAAGCACTCCTCTCAACTATTGGCTATCACTTAAGTTTTTCTCTCGCCGCGAAAATCGACGATCGCGTATCCGTCGTCGCTTTTTCAGCTCTTAGTTCGATTTTCGCTCTTTCTTCGCTTTTTGTGTTTATCAAGACCCCGAAGAGCGATCTCCATCTCCATCTCGATGTCGATTTCGATGGCGATCTGTGGGGTTCCCGAAGCTTGGAGCCCGAGATCTGTGATCTGTGATTTGCCTGCGCCGCCTTGGGTGTTGTATAAAAAAGCGTAACGGCCGCTTGCAAAACTCATTCATTTAAAAATTGTCAATACGTTCGAACGGCAAAATACGAGCAGGAAAGCCAAGAAAATAGCAAGTGCTTAAAGTGGAAAAAATACACGAAGGATACGTTTAAACAAAAAGGACAACTCAAAAGGATTATAATTTATAGTGATATAAACAAAAATAAAAACACGTTAATGAAATACAGAAATAATCGTGGCTTAATATTGCAAATTCAGTTCAGAACATTTCTAAGATACGGATTTCCATGTTTAATTCCATTTGAGAGATAAACAATAACGACAACCGAAGGATTTTGAACTAATCGAATTGGAACATTACTAACCAAGGTGAGAAATAAATCGGTTTTTCAGTGAAAGCAGCTTGAGTGTTTAATTAACAGTATGCAAATGAGTTATTTTGATGCTTTTTATACTAGTTTCCATTGATAAATAGCTTCCCAAAGTAAACACCCCAAGACAGTGTAATTTATAGGTGGCAAATAATTTAAACTAGAATTGAGAACAACTGTAACAAGAGAAATTCACTTAAATAACTCATGACCAAAAGTTGAGTTAAAAAGTAATGAGAAACAGTTTGTGTAAATGCATATTTCAAATGCCGATTAGGTTGAACTCCCATTCGGAATATATTATTATAGAATTTTTTTTAATTGTTTGACTCTCTTTTTTGTTTTTTGTTTGCTATTGCCTGTGGTATTAGGTAATATTTGCAGCTGTCAAGGCTGGGGAAAATCGCGCTGATTGATCTGAGGCAACGACAAGTGCTCACCCACTTTGTGATCTGTATCTTCTACCAACAGTCTGCGCCACAAATCATGTCAAATGGTTTATTATTCTTAAATTAATAACAAAATAGAAGGGGGTTCTCGGGGCGAGATAAGAGCGCCAAGAAAAGCAAAACAAAACACGCATATTAATTGGTTACCAAAATGATGATGGGAACGAAGGGCTTTCAAAATCAGTTAGGGGAAAAGTCCACCAATTAAGCCAGACAACCAGAACTCAGAATTCATACGACCCGTGTGTTCTCTCACCAAGAAAAACAAAGTTTCATCCATGCTCCTCCTTACCAACAAAAAAAAAAAGAAGAATTTTAATAATATCAGTTCTAAGCTATTAAAATTTATTTGTGAAATTTATTTTGAAGCTTCACAAATTTGTATAAGATAATTTAATATTTAAATTTGAAAAAAAAAATTATGTAAAAATTCAATTTAATGACACTATATATTTTACTCCAGTATACTCATTAATCAAGGGGTTTGGAAAATGTGCATTTTCTGCCCAAAATGTTTTCAGCTAGATATCCTACTGATATTTTCTCTCTGTGTAGCAGGCCATTTCCAGACCAACGCTCTCTCTTCGCTGGGCTTTTTGCTCTTCATTTCTGGCCTTGCCTTTGCGAAGTGTGAGTCTGGTACTCTTTGAAGCTGCTCGGGAAATGGCGAATTTCTGGCCCAAACCGGCGCAATCCGGCTCATTCCAATGGTCGTCGATCTTAACCAGTTGAATTCGGTTAAATCCCGATTGGTGCTCACATTCCTCATTTTCGCTCAAACTTTGTAGCCCTACGATTGTTTGCTATATATCTGTATATAAGTCCATGTAACACAGGAGCAGCTTTTCTTCAATAGTTTGATTGACCGGAAAAGTGGGCGGGGGAAGGGGGCGGGACGGGGAGAAGGAGGCGCCAGAGGTTCTAGTTTCATCAATCGTAATTGTCGAGTGTTTGGGATCAATTGAATGGGAAGTGATTGCCATCGTTTATCAGTTGCAAAATGTCTATTTTATGATTTAACAATTAAGAAAAGACACAGGAATGTGTA